GAACGAAGCATGGGTGGGGGTAGTGCTGCTCCATGCTTCGCGGAAGCCCGTTGGGAGGTGAGTGGAGCTGTGTTGCACCAGAACCGCGATGCTTGAAATATCATAGTTGCCACGAAGCCTGGAGGGGGGCTGATGCTTCGTTTTGGCCTGCTAATTAGTGTTTGTTTATTTTTCCTGGGTTGTGCGCTTCTTTTTGCTTTTGGGTCCGCGGGCTCACCTTGTTTCCGCATTCCTGGCTTGGTTTAAACTGGAGAGACGAGGTGAAGAAAGCCTTGGAGTACGAGGACAAGGATGACGGGGCCTTCTGGATGCGGCTGGGCTGTGAGATCCGGACGCTTTTGACCTTGTGTCCCGGGTGCGACAGGACAGCGGGTTGGATGCAGATCTGAAACAGATCTGAGTCGGGGGAGGTTCGACCAGAAGGTCACCAGGTCTAAGTGTTTCATGTTTTTTTTGTCCACTTGCAGGGTGCAGGGTCCACTGACCAGAGCTGGGATGGTGGGTCAGGGTTGGCTCTTTTCAGGCCAGGTGCAACCCCAACCCTCGCGAAAGGGTGGGAGGTGGGAACATGAACCTGTGTGTGCCGGCCCGCACGGGGGAAACAGGCCACACATGGTCCTTTCTGCACTCTTTGCCCCCTGGTAGCGATGGCCTCCAACCTAATAGCGATGGCCTCCGCCTAGCAGCTTCGAGTTACTAGAAAGCTTCAAAGACATACTAAAAGGCTTTCTTGTTAGTAACCTCCCGCACCCACTTTCTCGCCCCAAAACGGTGGACGCACTTGTCCCCACCGTTTGGTCCGAGGTGCTGGGCGGACTTCATCGAGAACTGGGCGAGGCTGGGCCGGTCGGCGAACACACACGGCCTTAAAACCGGAGGGTGTGGAGAGCCGAGTGACGAGGTGGAGCCGAAGGCTGTCTGGTGGTGTTGGAGTTGAGGTGGTCGGAAGATGTTGGGAGGGTCCGTTGAGGTGGTTGGGGATCATTGGGGTTTTGCAGGGCACATGCGGTTCTCAGTCGACTCTTGCGAATCAGCGACAAGTTCTGGAAGGGCACCAGGGATTCTGCAGGCTTGCATTGAACTGGTACGTGAAAAGAGATAGTTGGATTCCATTGGATGCCTGTAAAAAAGAATGTGTGGAAATGCTGAAATTCCATCCATGCATGGCGTTTGAGGCTGCAAATTCGGTGGTTTCCCATGTGGGTGGATCATGGATTCTGACAATCTTCCTGAGTTGGGTCCGCCCCCCGCGGCAAAACCTCTAAATCGCTTTCGGACGACGTGAACGTGGAGGTGGACATCGAACCTGAAAACTGCGTCGAATTTGGCAGGGATTCCCTCCTCTCGTGTCCCGCGTCCCGGTCATCTTCATTTTCCACTCTTCCAACTTCCACACTGAAAAAACACTCTTCCACATGTCACCGGTTTCTGCGTGGCTCCCCACCCGGCCCCCCCCACCGTCTGCCGCGAGCCTCGCCCGCGCCGCCCGCTTCGCCCATCCACCGGCCGGAGCCGGAGGATTGGCGTGGTGGACCGCACTGTGGACATCAACACGATGCGGCTGCACGTCAAGGAGACCCGTCAACCGGATTGGGCACGGTTGGATCGACCTGGCAGGTGGATCAGGGCAGTCTCTGATCAGATAGGTTGATGCTGATGCAGATCAGCAGATGTTTCTTTTTTGGCTTTTTTGGTTTTCGCTTTCCGAATTCTTCTGTTTAACTTTTTTCTTTCTGCGTCTGGTTTGGTGGATGGCATGGGGAAGAGAAGCAGATTCACCGTTTTCAAGGATGATGTGTATAAGATTCTTTTCTGCCGGAGTCTCACATTCTACAAGTGCCTGATTTCTTTTCTTCCGATGACTCTGATCGATCCCAATCCCTTAGACCAAGCTGATGACTGCGGCTTCGTATGCTCGTGCCAATGGTCCATGAAGCAAGACCGCCCTCCTCGCGAGGATGACTCGGCGTGCGCGCCCACCGCCGCCTGTGCGAGGGGCTGCGGGGACGCCAGGTCTGGGGACGCCATGGCATGGCCGAGTGGAAGACCCTTCTGGGCCTGGCGGTGGTCGTGGGTTGAAAGAGTTGTTTACACCCACACAACAACACACCACACACACTACCTGGCACCAGGACCCCCCACGGCATAGGTATCAACAAAAATAGTATTTACCGAATCAATAAACAACATATTCGGTGGCCGCTCCTCTGGTCCGCTGGTCCCTTGGTCCGCTGGTCCTCTCTGGTCCGCTGGTCCTCTGGGCCTGCGTTCCAGCAGTGCTCAACCGCATTGCGAACCCCGCTCTGGTCTTAAAGCGCTCCTGTCTCGGCTTGGTTTGGCATCGTTTTGGCCTCTCTTTGAGGCGGAGCAAGTGGATGTTGGCGTGCTTGCTTCTTGGGATTTGCCTACCATGAAGGCATACTTCCCACAAGTACCTGCCAGCCCGGCAACCCGGATCATCGCAGAATGCAAGGTGCGCCTGCGGTAGTGTATGACTTGCTTCAATTCAATGCTGTTCTCTTGTGAGCCAGGCTGCGCGGGCCGCGGGTCACCAAGACAAGGCCCACTACTAAGCGAACGCTTACAAACTATCATGTTGATCGTCTTGCGTGTGACAGTGTGCTTATATGTGCTTATCTTTGCCAGGACCACCTGCAGGAGAGTGATCAGAG